TGTGGAACTGGGGATTGAACTCAGGCCCTTGCGCTTGCCAAGGAAGTGCTTATTCTACTGAGCCATCTCCCCGGCCCCTATCTTGGTCTTAACCATCCAGCAGAAAAATATAAAAATGAGGTATATAAAGAAAGCCAAATTAATATGCTGAGCTGTGAAAGGCTCAAGTCAACAACTTCTGCGGATAACCCACTACTATTGTGGACTGCTGGTCTGTGTTGGATTGTTTTGCTGAATTCAAGCACCTACAGTATTTAGATGCCAATGGAATACCCATCTCTGATAGGACTAAACAAAAAAAGGAGATACAAAGGAAGGACCATTTTGTATTTGTATATACAGAATAGTTAGGATAGATATACAGCTACTTTCATTTAATTCAGTGAGAAGATTTGTACTGATAGTGTTTGGACAGGATATCCTGCCTGCATCTTGTACTATGGATAACCACTAAGAAGATAACAATGTACAGTGTATTAATTATTGAAACTGTCCTATTAATCAGCTTTGAAACTGTCTCATTATACTCTGGTTTCTCTTCAGATCGTATGAAACTGTCTCATTGATATTTCTCAATAAGATAAATTTTAAAAAATTAAAAAAAAACAAAGACACTGAGGCAGAAGCAGAGATAACAAACAGTTTTGATAAACCAGAGGGTCTATTATCTGATTCTCAACCCAGAACAGATACCCTTAGGTAGTCAGTCCGCAGCGTAAGTCCTTGTTTCCGTAGTGATTAGTAATGAGGACGGGGGCATGTGACCCAACCTCTATGTGTTTGCTCAGAGAAAATGAAATTTCTCTGGGCTCCTGGGGTTATAATCTCCCATGCATTCCCTACTGAGCCTTCCATGGGGTGGCATGCTAAGGCATGTTAATTTGAGGTCATTTGAACAGACATGCTTTTCATAAAATATACAATCTTTTTCTGTATTTAGTACAAGGTCTACAGTGTCTCACTAAACAGATCAGACTCATAGTGAGCCTCCCATTTTCAGCCTCCCAAGCACTGGGATTATAGGAATGCAGTCTCAATTGCAGTCTCAGCAAGCCCCAGGGGCGGGGCCAGCACAGCAAGCCAGGGATTGAACCCCAGCTGCTGTGCTCTGCCTAAACAGGTGCTTTAATCCACTGAGCTATCTTGCTAGCCCTAAAATATACAATCTTATGCTACATTTAGTAGCGTAATTTGAACTTCTGAAGCCCAAAGCAATCCTGCCGGCTCCTACAAGCAGGAAGCCTTGCTTCTCCTTCCCTGAGTTAGTCTACCTTCAAGTGATTGTATAGAAGCGATGCCTTCAAATTGGAGTTTAAATCCATCCCTCTTGCATCAACTCCAAGCAATCAGTGTCATGAGTCACTGGGTGTTGTTTCTGTATTCATGGATGAGAACAAATGTGAGCACTTTCTTCTGAGACAGAAGGAAAATGCAGTACAAATGCATGGTAGAGTTGTATTCAGCATTAAAAAAATAAAAAGGAATACGCTGTCACCAGCAGCAACATGGATGGGACAAGAGATCATTATGTGAAATAAGCCAGGCACATGTTGGCTGCAGCATGCTGGCCATGGCATGGGGCCATCCTCCAGGCACTCTGGAATTTACGTCTCATCATCATGTGTCTTGCATAAAAGGTATGAGCCACAGTACATAATACTGGCCCTGGTGGGTTTCACGTTTGCTTCGGTATGAACCTTTCCTATTCCCTATTCTTCACTTTGAGCATGGAGCTGTTAACCCAGTGTCACTGTGTATTGAAAAAATGTAACAAGCTCTTTAAATTTTGAGGGTTTTACAGCTATACATTTGCCTTGAGTCTCACAAGAGAATTTGGAGCAATGCTGAAACTTGGGGCAAGGAGACGAGTAGTTTTGGCTATACAAGGGATAGTTATATCATGTAGGCAGAAGTTTGACCTTGTGTTTACGTGGACATTGAGTATGATTTCAGACGTGTTTGAGTGTCAAGTGGAAAAGAGGTGAAAACTAATGATGAAGGTGGAATGTCAACTTAAGCAGCCCAATAGGCACCTAGGAGACTGGTGTCTATTTTATCTGGTCCCTTGGCCTCTTCCTCACTGGTACTGTTCCCCTGCTATTTAACTAAAGCTTTGCTCTACCCCTTCCTCTACCACCATATTCCCACCATGGAGCCAGCAGGTTCTGAACTGGAACCTCTGAAGCTATGAACAAAAATACACCCTGGCCCTTTGGAGTGTGTGTGTCTGGTATTCAGAAAGGAAGGGCACAGGAAAGCTGACCAATGCACACAGGTTACAGGGACTCAAAGGGATCAAAGAATGAGTGGAGCTGACAGTCCCAACAAGATTTGATAAAGAATTTATTATTCCTTCAAAACAACTGACTTGCATCACTCCTTCACAAGAGATTAACAGAACAGAAATGATCAGTATTTTAGAAAGTATTTGTGATTTTTTTGTGGAATATAAACCTGTAGCTGAATATGTAATTGTTTTCCTAATTAAATTGTTTCATATGCAAGTATGAACTTCAGCGTGAAGTAAAATCTTAATACACAACATTTTAATATTTCACTGTCATGAAATTTCCTTAAAACATTACTCCTACATATCTTTTGAGGTTTGTATTTGTTTGATTTTTGAGACAGGGTCTTGCTATGTAGTCCATGCTGGCCTCAAATGCATGGTTTCTCCTGCTTCAGCCTCCCAAGTGCTGGAATTACAGGTATGTGCCATCATACCCAGCTCTACACATCTTATTTGAAGAAATTATGTGAAAAAATCAAGTTTTTCTGTAAAAATAAAACTATGTTTGAATACATATAAACAAGCAAGGCACAGAAAGACAAACATTGTATGTTCTTGTTCATATTGCAGAAATGAAAAAAAGCTAATTTCATAGAAATCAAAGGCAGAAAAACTGTACCAAGGCTAGAAGAGAAAATGGAACCAAGAAAGGTTGAATAACAAGCATTTATGTACAATCAGGAGAAATAGTATATAGTGTTCTATGGCACCGTAAGGTAGTAATTTACTACATTTTTATAAAGAACTAGGATTGGTTTTTTTTGTTGTTTTGTTTGCTGTATTTAGTACAGGGTCTAGAGGATGTACAGGGTCTCACTACATAGACTAGACTCGTGAGTCTCCCATTTTCAGCCTCTCAAGCACTGGGATTACAGGCACACGCCACCATGTGGAGTCTCAATTGCCATCTCAGTGTGCCCTGAGGGTAAGGCCCACAGGACTCCAGGGATAAAACCCGAGCCACTGTGCTCTGCCTAAGCAGGCGCTTTAATCCCCTGAGCTATCTGGCCCGCTCTATAAAGAGCTAGAAAAGATGAATTCAAAGGTTCTCAACACAAAGAAGTAATGTTGGAAATGGAAATAACTGTCCTGGTTTGGTTTTTACACACTGCATACATGTGTCAAGTTACCACCATCCCATAAGCATAAACATGTTGGTAAAAATGTTAGAAGTATCACCACAGAATCAGCAGAGCTAAAAACCAAGGCAGCTGAGCCCCAAGTTATGTGCACTCCTGGCACCAGACAGAACAGAGCTCTTCTGTGAGAACAGAAAGAGGCATGGAGCTTTCTCTGCTGTCCTCCATGCAGGTAACTAGAAAGGAACCGTTAGTCCATTAAAGGAACTGTTATAAATTGTTGAGAATGGATGTCCTCACAATCTTCAGTAGCAGCTTATAAATTTCATATTAAAATATCCTACTATTTATAAAGATTTAATAAAAATGTTAAG